TCTATTTGCCACTGCTTTTCACATCAGTTAAGCGCATCAAATACTCTTGTGTCACACATGTACAATGTACACCCTGCATGAAGAAGCCATATTTCAATCACTTGGCTCTTTGTGAAATAAAAGCAACAGTAGTGAACTAACCCTTAAATTCCAGTCTTTTATTTACTTTTTTTTGTTATAGCTTACATGATATCTTGTACCTTTTTCTTCAAAGATGCTACCATCTGACAAAATGTATTTTCTTTAAATATGTAACCATCAAGTTCAAGTGAGTTTTAAGTACTGTTGGTCTTGAAGCACAAATCATCTGATGTAGTATTTTTTCAAAATAAATACATATATACATAATTTGAAGTCCTTTATGAAGAATAAAAGATACATTTATAGCCATAGAATACCCTTGATAAATCAACACATTCATTATGAATCAACTAAAAAGGAATTTAGAATTAATTCTAGGACTGGCCTCATTGATTTGACAGAATCTTGTTTTGGGCTCAGAAGGAAATTTCCAGTCACTAGGTTGAAGAAGCCTTTGTGGTGATTTGTGCATCTCGGGTCTGTGCCATAGGTCACTCATCATGATGTTCCACACAGTGGACTCTACGGGAGTCCTGAAAGCATCAGTGGCTTCTTTGATTATAATTACTCTGGGCTGTCACAGTGTTAGGTTTTTATGACACTTTTTCCTATAGTTGAACTCACATGTGACAGGCAACCAAGACAAATCCAATAGCAAAAATCTACCTAATGAACAGGTAATGAGAATACAACCTTTATTTCTTGAAACTGGCATACCCTTGTACATGACATGTGCTTTTATTTATTTTTAATCATCTGGCTAAACAACTCTCTTTAATGAAAATGTTAATATAATGATGGTTTGTGGGTGCTTTGGGGGATTAACTGAAAAATTTGACAGATGCAAAAAATTTTTTGATTCTCTATGAAATACGTGTTTGAAAAAGTTTAAGGAAGACATTGCTTCTCCTAGACATTGTATTCCAAGAGCCAGAAACTCCCTTAGGGACTATAGGTACTTTTTAAAAAAGATTTATTTATTTATTTGAAAGAGTTACACAGAGAGAGGAGAGGCAGAGAGAGAGAGAGAGAGAGAGAGAGAGAGAGAAGACCACAAGGGCCAGCCAGAGCTGTGCCAATCTGAAGCCAGGAGCCAGGAGCTTCTTCTGGGTCTCCCATGGGGATCCAGAGGTCCAAGGACTTGGGCCATCTGCTGTTGCTTTCCCAAGCTATAGCAGAGAGCTGAATCAGAGGAGGAGCAGCCGAGACTTGAACCAGTGCCTATCTGGGATGCTGGCACTTCAGACTGCGGCTTTACCTGCTACGCCACAGTGCTGGCCTCCATCTAGGTACTGTATGGTAGTCTGGTGACATTTATGGAGCAGGTCCCAGCAAACTGAAAATGTGCCTATTGTTTGATCCCTAAGGAGGAAGCCCTCTTTTTGTATCAGAGTTTCAGATTTTCTGCAGCTTGATTTGAGTTTGTTCTTAAGAATTGGATGCAGTACTCAGTTAGCAGATATGAAGAAGGAAGACCTCATCACGGATGTTGGCTGGGTTCTCCACTGAAGATGAACTTTTTGGGTTCCATCCAGAAGTCAGAATGCTCTCTGTCTTTTGCTTTCCTCCATTCCAGATGAGAGAGGCCCTGCAAAAGCCATAATATGAACTCTACAGTTATCTTTACGTCCTCAGAAGCTGTGGCTGCCGTGGATTTCAGCCTGGGGTATAGGAATCCAACTTCTGAGCTTTTTCTCACCTACTTGGATTATTTCTCTAGGGATATCTCTCATTCACCCACTGAAGTCATGCTCCTGGCCCCAGGATGCCCTCTTTAAAGCAAGGTACTGAAGTGTGAGGGTTGAGATGATGAATCTGGTCCACATTATATAGGCTCAAACACCAACTCCACTACTCACTAACTTGGCGGGTTACATAAGTTCTAAAATGCTTCATTTCATATCAGTAAAATGAGGGAGAACAATGATCATCCTGCTACCTACCTCATAAGACTGTTGGAAGAGTGAATGTCAGCACATTGCTTAGAATGCAGCAGTAGGTTCTCAGTAAATGCTAGCTGTTATTATCACCATGCCACCCATTTCATTTTCCTCACAGCATTTACTGAAGCATTGGCAGTGGTGGTGGAAGGTTGTTTCTCACACACAGGTGAAAGGCCATGGTGAACTGTGTGCCTCTTGCCTTGGTATGTTGTTGAGGCTCCATGGGGAGGGGGGCACTTGCAGGATAGGCTGGAAGGTACTCACTCTGCTTTAACTCTGAGCCAGGATGAGGCCCTTTCCACAGCTGAATCACAGATCCTCCTGAAGGTGGCATCACATGGGGATGGTGGCAATAGTCAGGTGACCTTGGCCTTCTGGTTCTTTTCATAGCCTTTATGTGCAACAAGAGCATGAGAATACATTCAAGCTCAACTAGGCTTTTCAGACTGTGTCATCAATTCACTGGTGGTTAAAACATCACCAATTTTTAAATGCTACATATATAGTTATTTAGGAATAGTATCTTTTTAATAGTTCTATTCCTTGGGTTATAGCCACATAGAAGTACTGGTTCATTCCTTTTAAAATGCATATTTGTGAAAACATTTGGTCAGTGGCTCTCTATTTTTGGTTTGATTCTCTATTCTGGAAGCCAAAACATTGATGTAATTCCAAGGTGAACCTAAAGTATGTGTTCTATTTCTGATGGTGTGTACCTTTGGAATATCTACCACAGATAGCTAGTGATTTCCTGCTCCTGCATAGTTGCAGCCAAAATAAAAGGAATGACAGAGCTAGACTGTGCATTCAAAATCAAACAGTTGATTTTGAGAATTGGGTTTTCCTCTGGTTTCCAGATGCAACTACTCTAAAAATCCTGGACGCCTTTTTGGGACTCATCTTTCTCTACATCTTCCTAGTGCTTAGTACTTGCTAAGTACATGGTTAGACTCTTTGATTATGACTTGATAAGTAAATGTTTGTTGAATGCATAAGTGAAACACTATTGTTAATTGTACACTTTCCTCCTTGGGTGGCATGTTCTCTGTACTCTGCCATTTTCTTTCCTATCCAAGCTCAAGTTCAACCTAAGCTGAGTGGAAAATCATCACAATGGTAACCCAACCGTTGGAAGTCATAGATAGCAAAGCTTCAACAAAACAAACCCTGACCCTTGAAGACTAACATAGTGTTTCCAATATATTATTCTGATAAGAAATTTTCATTAGCTGACTTACCTCAAACGGTAGAGTTAGAAACATACCAGGGGATTCCAATTCAATCCCATCAAGGTGGCATGTACTAATGCCATCTCACTAGTCCCAGTGATCAATTTCTGTTCACAATTGATCATAATGATAGGACTAAGAACCAAAGGGATCACATAAACAAGAATAGTGTCTGCAAATACTAGCTGATAGAATAAAAAAGGGAGAGAACGATCCAACATGGGAAGTGAGATACACAGCAGACCCATAGAATGGCAGATGTCCTAAACAGCACTCTGGCCTCAGAATCAGCCCTTAAGGCATGCAGATCCGGCTGAAAAGCCCATGAGAGTATTTCAGGCATGGAAAGCCAAGACACTCTGGGGGGAAAAAAAAAAAACTAAATGAAAGATCTCCGTGAGTGAGATCCCAGTGGAAAGAACGGGTCATCAAAGAAGGAGGTACCTTTCTCTGAAGGGAGGAGAGAACTTCCACTTTGACCATGGCCTTGTCTAAATATGATCAGAGTGGGTGAACTCAGGGGGCTTCCATAGCCTTGGCAGCTCATGACAAGAGCCTAGGGTGATTACTGATGCCTAAACAAGAGTGTCAATTTGTTAAGTCAACAACAGGAGTCACTGTGCACTTACTCCTCATGTAGGATCTTTGTCCTTAGTGTGCTGTACATTGAGATTTAATGCTATAACTAGTATTCAAACAGTATTTTTCACTTTATGTTTCTGTGTGGGAGCAAACTGTTGAAATCTTTACTTAATGTATGCTAAACTGATCTTCTGTATACAAAGAGAATTGAAAATGAATCTTGATGTGAATGGAAGGGGAGAGGGAGTGGGAAAGGGGAGGGTAGTGGGTGGGATGGTCGTTATGGGGGGGGGGAAGCCATTGTAATCCATAAGCTGTACTTTGGAAATTTATATTCATTAAATAAAAGTTAAAAAAATAAAAATAAAAAAGAAATTTTCATTAAAAGCAGCCATCATTGTGGTATGTGCAAAAATGCACCCTATCCTGCCTCTACCACCACCAAAAATGTTCACTTCCTCATGTCTGGAACCTGTGTACTACCCTTGCACGATAAAAGTTATGAATAAATTAGTTTTCTGACCATGAGGAGATTATCCTGGATTATACAGTGGAACCAATATAATCTCAAGAATCCCTTTAAGAGGGATGCAGGAAGGTCAAAGTCAGAAAGAGGGTGGAAGATGCTAAGGTGCTGGTTTTGAGGAGGGAGGAAGAAGGAAGGAGCCATGGACAAAGGAATGCAGGAAACTTCTGTAAACTAGAAAGAGCAAGGGAACCATCTCTTCCCAGAGCCCCCAGAAAGAGCATTGCACTTCCATCCATTCTGGACTTCAAGACTCCAGAACTGGGAAGTACTAAATTTGTGTTTTTTAAACTTACCATGCTGGTGATGATTTGTTATGACAGTAATAGAAAATGAATACCAATGTCTATATGTTCCATCATGTTATAAAACAAATTTTTAAGGTTAAAAAAATAGGACTGGATCCCCCAAATGCACACTGGCAACTTTGCAAGCCACACAGGCAAATACATGTATTTGTAGTCTACCTGGGCACGATACTATTGTTCTTATCTGTTCCAAAGACAAAAATAACAGCTTGGTTGTATGAAGGGAGCCCACAACCCTTGCCCCTTTACTATCAAGTGAATGTCAACCAAAGTGGGAAGGAATAATTTGCCTTGGGTTTCTTTTCTCTGAGTACTTTGCTTTGGCTTCCAGATGCCTGCTCAATACATCAGCTGGAGAATCCGACTTGCTTTGTCAAAATGAAATTGAACTAGGTAAGTTCCCTAAGTTTAATGTAAGTCCAAATGAAATCTATTAAGCATATTCAGATTCTATTCTAATACAGAGTCTGTGGATAAAAAGTAAAAGTCTAGACTAGCATTGTAGGAGCCCATACTTTCAGAGTCCTTTCAAATTCTTTCTTTAAAGATCTACATTTCTCTCTTTCCTAAATCTTTTAAAAAAAAAAGAGCTTAGTGACATGTCTGGCTGCTTTGCATTTTCATTGTTAAATATCTTCATTCCTGTGTTCTCAATTTGTAAGGCAGTAGGGATGTGATCAACATAATGAGCCTCGTTTTCCTGGGCAGTTCCTTGTAGTGCTAGGAGAAGAGAGAAGGAGGCTCATTCTGGTAGCAGAAGCTAGGTACCCCCTCTACCTGGTACTGAATAAGGCAATTTCACCCTGACTTCTCACAATGGTGACAAGGATAGTCCAAGAACCATGTCATGTTCCTGTTAGCTGCAAAGTCATGATTACAGTACTGTGTTTTGGGGGCTCCAGTTCTGGAGTCAGGCAGAACTGAGTTCAAATCTCAATGCTGTCCCTGAGTGGTTGTATGATATTGGGTAAGCTGCTTGACTTCTGTTTTTATTTGGAGTGTCATTAGCACTGTCTGCCTCATTGTAAAAAGTAAATAGGTTGATGAATTAAAAACACTTAGCACAGAACTTTGCTATGGTACTTAATAAGCACTCAATAAATATCTAGAATATGCTCTATGTAACATTTATTCAGACTGTAGAGATGTTGGATAACTAATATTCTCTGTATGGTAAAACTACATTTCCCTCTCCCTTCCTGCCTTGTCCCAAGTTCCATGTGATAGGAGGCAAGGGAAAGAACTTATTTGGAACGAGTTCATGTCTAATGGATGTTCTCTGGCTGCCTGTGTATCTCTGGAATTGAACATTAGATAGATAGATAGGGTGATGGGGGCATTGGCCGACAGTCCAGCACTTGCTTTAACATCCATGTACTACAGCTGTGGAAATCCCCTTTAGGCCTTTGACAACTCTGCGTATCAAAAGTTATTTCCATCTTCCTTTTTTTCCTGCTTCTTCTTTTACCCTGACTCTCTTAGGGGACAAGAGCTCTCCTATATCTTTTTCCCAAGTTCACTGGAGAGATTTTTGTCTTTGCCAAGGTTGATGTCCAGAACATCTGGAGGCCCGTGAAAGCGAAGGATTGGCCCACAGTGGAGTCACTGATTGCTCCATCAGGCACGTGGCTGCCAGCTCTCCACCAGGCTCACAGTTTTTAGAGGCAGCTTGTGTCATGGAGCCCCCTGCACATTCACCATTGCCTGCCCGTAGATGCCACTTACACATTAGCCCACCCTCATGACAGTGATATGCCATTTAATGGGACTTTCAAAAGAATGGTTTGCTTTGGAAGCTTCTATGTAGGAAAGCTTTGTGGGGATTCCAACATATCCCACATCGAATTCACTAATCCCCCTGGCTGTCTTCCCTTCTGTGTGCTCTGGATCAGTCAGTTCACCAACAAACTGACATCTGGGCGTCATCCTCGATCCTGTTCATCCTTTCTTCTACAGCTAGCTATGTGGTCTCCAGTTCTGAGGCATCCACCTCCACAGTCCTCCCCAGCATTATCTTCTTCTTCTCTCCTTCCTCACTGGCATTGTCAGTCCAGGCCCCCTCAGTTGCTACCTGCTGCCTCTCTGGTTTGGCTCCTCTGCCTGCAGTCACTGCTCATCCATTACAAATGGGGCCATCTTTCTGAAACAAACATCTGCTCAGTAAAGACTCCTGTAGCCCTTTGGCTAAACTCCATGCTCCTCCATTCATGTGCAGTGTGGCAGCGTTGGTAGCAAAGATGACCCTGGAATCGATACTTGGGCACACAAGTTGGCTCCTCCACTTACTAGCCATGTGACCCTGAATAAGTTACTTTACCTCTCTGGTACCAGTTATCTGACCTGTAAAATAGGGGTAATGATGGGACCTCATAAGATTGTTTCAAAGATTAAATACGATAGTACATATTGGCACTCTGAACAGAGACTGAGATATAACAAATGCTCAAAAATGTTGACTGCTACTGCCAACTGCCTTTAGTTAGCTACTGAGGCCCCACAACCAGCTGCCTCCTGCTGGGAGGTCAGGGAGAGACTTAATGGTTATTTGGAAATCAGAGTGTCAGACAGAGAGGGAATGACAGAGAGAGAGAGAGAGAGAGAGAGAGAGAGAGAGAAAGAGAAAGAGAGAGAGAGATATCTCCCATCTGTGAATTTACTCCCTACATGGCTGCAATGGCTAGGACTGGGTCAGGCTGAAACTAGGGGCCAGGAGCTTCATCCAGATCTCCTGCATGGGTGATCTTTGGCTACTTTTTTCAGGTCAGTAGCAGGGAGCTGGATCAGAAGTGGAACAGCTGGGAAAGGAACTGGCACCTGTGTGGGATGGCAGCATCACAGGCTGTCGCTTTACTGGCTATGCTACAACAGCAACCTCTTTTCTAAATCTACAATGATAATGGAACTGAAGACTTTTAAGGAACTCCATTGGAGCAAGTGTTTGGTATAGTGGTTAAGATGCTGGTTGGAATGCCTGTGTCCCACTTTGATCCCCAGCTCCAGCTTCTGATTCCAGCGTAGTGCTAATGCAGGCCCTTGGAGGCCGTGGAGATGGCTAGATTGATTGGGTTCCTGCCACCCACTCGGGAAACCTGGATTGATTTCCTGGCTCCTCACTTTGTCAGAACCCAGCCCCAGCTATTTTGGGCATTTGAAGAGTGAAATAATGTATGAAAATTTCTCTGTCTCTGTTTGTATGTGTCTTTCTCTATCCATCTCTCCATTTAATACTTTTAAAAACTGCATCGTTTTTGAACCCCAATCTAGAAAAAGTGTTAAGGAAATGATGCTCCATTCTGGAGTGGGTATGTGTGGGAGAGAAAGGAGATGGTGAAAATGTGATGGGAACGATCATATTAGCTAGAGATGCATGGGGTAGCCTTTTCTAGAACTAAAGTCAAGAGTGGATGATATATTGAATGTGTTCTAGAACAATGATTAGGATTATTCTGGGTCTAACCTGGAACAGTATTACCAAAGCTACAAAAATTGACATGGTTTCTGGGCTCTGTACATTCTAGTATTTTACATGTTTGTGGTCTTCACCTTATTGCATCAAAACTTCATGATTTAGAGTATACAGCTATAAGCAAAAATACTGTGAATGTTAAACATTCCATGTGTAAATTAAGCATGGGGAAAGTAATTTTGTTTCAAAAGATAGCTTTATAAATGTAATGTTCTCCATTCTCAAGCTATCTTAGATCTAAATAAACAGCTTTAGATTCCTAAAAATGACCCATTATCCCAGTGACCTTAAACAGGCTTGCAGAAAGCAAGGCAACTAGGAACAGAATTCATCCTGATTTACAGTAACAGTGTCTGTATATAAATTCATTAGATAAGGCAGTTCCTTTAACCATCTTTTATCTGTTTATATGGACGAAGCCATTCCTTGAAAAAAATGTGGGTCCTATTATGGCTCAATGTAAAGAAACTAGACAAATGCCACAAAGGAACTTCTGTCACTGACTACTGATTCAGTCCCAATGTCATTGCAGGCCCTTGTTCTGAGCAGGAAGCTGGGTGTGTATTCAATCCCAAGATGTCCTAGATTTACATTCAGGAGGCTCCTGTCTTTGGCACTGCCCTTGGTCAGTGGTTCAAACAAAGGGGATTTTTGCCTCACATTGGTATATCTGCTAGTGTCTGGGAACCGTGTTAGTTTTCTCAACTTGGGTTGAGGGTGGAAGTTTCTGATGGGAACCGGCCAGGGATGCTCTTGCAGAACACCACAAAGGCACAGGACAGCTCCTCACATCAGGGAATTATCTGGCTTCAAAAAGTCAACAGTACCAAGGCAGAAAAGCCCTAGAATCGATGCTCTTGGCCTGACAGGGATAGTGTGGGGAGGGGCCCTCCTGTGCTCATCCCAACTCTTCATCCAGGACATCCAGATAGGACCCAGACAAGAAGGCATCCCAGGGACTCCAGGGTCCTGGCAACAAACTCCTCAGCCCCGCCTCAAAAATATCCTTTACTTTTCACTGAAGCCTCACATTATGTCATCAGTGCACTTACAGCAATTTGAAATGAAGTTTAAATTGTGACCACAGCTGGGAAGATGACAGGTTGACCCCAATTTTCAAAGGATAAATGGGGCAGTTACAATTTTCTTGATAAGAAATTTTGATGAGGTAGAGAGAACACAAAGTGCCTGTGTAGATGACCAGATTTAGCAAATAAAAATATCAGATGCCCAGTGACGTTTGGATTTTAGATAAGCAACTAATCATTTTTTAGGGAAAATATGCCCCAAATATTTTATAAGACATAGTTCTATTGAAAGGCTCTTCGCTGTTTATCTGGATTTCAGATATAATGGAGTGTCCTGTGTTTTGTCTGTCAAGCATATCTTGAGTGACTGGAGGAGTGGAGGTATATTTGAGTGAGAGAAAAGGGAAAGGACAGTGTGCAGGCCTCTAAGATATATGGCTTCCATGATAAACCTACTTAACCTCTCTGTTTCTGATTTTGTAATGTCCAAAATGTGAGTAATAATAGTCTTTCCTGATAGAAAGAGTAATGAGGATTAAGTTAGCCAATATGCATTATATATTTATATATTTATTTATTTATATTTATATTATTTATATATATTTAGATTCCTAAGGATTTAGATCCTAAGGATCTAAATATATATATATATATATATATATATATATATATATATAGTTCTCAGGATTATACCTGGCACATAAAATCTTAGTCTCTGTTAACTATTATAATTGCTAGTATTTTTAGGATTATCAATGTTTTTCCAAAGCAACCAGGTACATCTTAGTCTTTTATCCTTTAGATTTTTTTTTTTTTTTTGACAGGCAGAGTGGACAGTGAGAGAGAGAGAGAGACAGAGAGAAAGGTCTTCCTTTTTGCCGTTGGTTCACCCTCCAATG